TTTTTTTGGAAAGAAAATAGAGCAAAGTTCAGCCTGGGATCCGGGCTATTGCTGCAAGGCTCTCCGAGGCGCCGCGCGTTACATCCAGGGCTGCTCCGTCTTCAGCATCGCGCCCAGCTGCACTCACAGACAAACAGACAGGAGGGGGGGCGGGCGGAGAGAGGGGGGCAGAGTCAAACTTTGGCCGCGGAGGGGGAGCGGAGGGGGGGGGACGGAGCCCCCCAGCCTTCCCCTGGGCCCCGAGCCCTACTCAGATGCCCCACGGTAGCCCGGGACGGTGGCGGGGTGGGGGGCAGCGCGGGGGTCTCCAGTCAGAGGCGCGATCGATAATGAGACTTCGCAGCGCCTTAACCGCGTAATGATCCCGAAATCGATGGGGAGGGCGAGGGGAGGGCGGGGGCGGGGGCCAGCCGTGTCCCCCCCGCCCCGACGCATCTCCCCCCCCCGTCCCCGCCAGCACCGCGGAGCTGCGGACAGCACCGAGACGGGGGGAACCGGAGTCAATGCGGAGTCGCCCCCCTTTCAGCACCACGGACAGCGCCCGGCACCGGAGTCACTCCGGAATGACCCCCCCCACACACATACAAACACACCCCTGCTCAGCACCTCGGACAGCAGCTCCACTCGGCACCTTCCCCAGCGGAAATTAAAAAAAAAAAAAAAAAAGAAAAAAAAAAAGAAAAAAAAAAAAAAGATAAAAAAAAGAAAAAAAACCCCAAAAGTGGGGGAGAAGAAACGAACTTGTGTCACTCCGCTTCGGGGGCCCCAGCGTCCCCCCGCCCCTGCCCCTGTGAACGCGCCCATTGGCCGGGAGGTGTTTGGGGGGATGTCACTCCCCGGCGGCGACACCTTGCAGCTTCATTAACGGGAATTAATTGCCGCGCGGATCCCCGCTCTTTCCGGGCGGTTTCCGCCTTCTTCGCTGTCATTACCCCGCTGATGGAGCTCGTAATGGGGTGATTAGGCACGGAGCGTTGCGGAGGGGGGGGTGCAACTTTCTGCTCGCCTTCCCCCCTCGCAACAGCCGATCCGCCGTGTCCTCCCGAGCTGGGAAAGTTTTCCTTGGCGTTAAAAAAAAAAAAAAAGGAAACAAAAAAGAAGAAGAAAAAAAAAAAAAAGAAACCAAATCCCCCCCCCCCACACCAAACACCTCCCCAAGCCCCAGCGCCGAGGCGGCTGCTTTGAGCCCGAGGTGAAGCTCGGAGCCAGCAATTTCGTTGAATCCTCTCGAAATCGGTTTGTGAACGAGCAGCGAGGTCCTTTGGCGAAAGCAGCCCCGGGGCCGGCGGGAAAGCAGCGGCCCGGCGGAACGTGGCCCCGCGGAGCGGCGCGGAGCCGCCGAGCTCCGGTACGTACCGGGGCCGCGGGCAGCCACAGGGGCAGCGGGGCACGGAGGCGGCAGAGCTGCCGCTGAGCGCGGACACGCTGTCGCTGCCATCCGAGGAAAACCGCCCTCAGCAGCCGGAGCTGCCCATGAGCAAAGCGCATTTTCCCCGCTCCTCGGACCAAGACATTGTCTTGGCTGAGGCTTTTGGGAAGATTTTGTCCTTTTTTTTTTTTTTTTTTTGTATTTATTTTTTCCTTCTTGTCGCCAATCCCTTTTTAAAAATAACCCCTATGGCGCAGGGGGCTCCAGGCCGAGCTGCCCACCCTGATGGCGAAACAGGCTCGGGCTACTCGGGACCAGCCCGCCCCGCTTTCCCCGCTTCCCGTCTTTCCCGTCGACAACACAACTCTTGTCCCCTCCACCCCATCGTTGCTGTGACTCCTCCAGACTCCCCCAGCGCTCTCACCTTCCCCTCCGCTCTCCGCGAGGGTTTATTTAGGGTTTTTCCCCGGGGGCAAACGCTCGGGCATGGGGGAAACGCGCGGAGCCGCGTGCGCAGCGCGGTGCCACTTTCAAGAGAGGGGGGTGATTATTTCCCAAATACTCGATTTCCTCTCCTTCCCCGCTTCCCGGCCAGGCAGCTGCATCTTGTCCCCCTTCCAAAGGCGCCCGTGGCTGGCAGCTTGGAGGCGGTCAGCGCGGGGAGCCCCCCGGGGCCGCCCGGCTACCAGCTGTCGGGCAGCGGGGCGGGCAGGGCCCGGCGGGCTCGGGGCAGCCGAACAAAAGAGCTCGGAGGAGGATAAATCCAGAGGCAAGAGCGGCTCCGGCCCCGGTGCCCCCAGCGCCCAAGGCCGGGGGCTGCTCGTCCCTCCCCGTCCAGGCTGGGTGGAGGTCCCTGCGGCTGCTCGGCCTCCGTCCCAGCACAGGGAGGCTGCAGCCGTGCCAGGGACTGGGGACAGCACTGGAGGGGCTCGATCTGCTGGGGGTGGTGGTGGTTTTGCAGCATCCCCTTGCCCAGGTACCACGTCCTGGAGGGACCTCAGTGACAGACGGACAAGAGTTGGTCCTGGGTGAGAAATGGGATCCCAGTGGGACATCCCAGCTCTCCACTGGGGCAGTGTTGGCTGCTGGGCTCTGGCAACCTCCTCGTCTACCCAACAGACTTCATTTGGAGGGAGATTTACATTGGCATCAGGACTAGGATTTGGTTTGTGATTGGGACCAGGATTTTGACTGGGAGTGTGTTTGGGATCAGGATTTGGACTGGGACCAGAACTTGGATTGGGATGCTTATGGGAAGGGCAGAATATCCTTACAGGAACAATTCTCTTGCTTTGTTTCTCTTTTCAAATAAATGTAGGGAAATTCCCCAGCTCAGACTCACACTGATCTTCCCCTAACCCCACTGCCAGCAGACACCTTGGTCCTGGGAGTGTCCTGTGCTGTGGGTAACATGCGTGGATAACAGGTGAAGGGGATCCTGCTGATTCAGATCCACTCCTGAGCTTGGGGACGGGCCTCTAGGGCTGCTGCAGCCTTAGTGCTGCGGAGAGAAACTGTGCGAGGATTTGGGGTGCAAATGGAGGATGTGGTCCTCATCACTAAGCACACACTGTATCGTGGCACTGCCAACCCTTTGGGACAGACGCTGCTGCTCCCAGGCCGTAGTCGGAGCTCTCAGCGGGCGGCTACAGGTGCACTTGTTACTAGCGCACTTGACATTAATTAATATGAAATATTAATATTATTATTAAGTTGTTTCAGAACTAGATTGCCAGCGGCAGAAACCTGCCCCGTTTGCCCACACGAGGCGTCCCGCGCACATCAGAGCCAAGCTCGTTAGCTCGAGGTCTGTGTCTGGCAAAGCTGCTCCCCTGCGGGCACGAGCTTCAGCTGAGGCGAACGCGGGGACGCGTCAGAGCTGGAGGAGGTGATGCTGCACGGGCAGCCCGGGAGGACGCCAGGACTCCCGGGAGCTCCAGCTGGACTGCGGTGGGGTGGAAATCCTGGGACTACTGGGCGGGCTGCCCTCCTGCTGGATGTGCAGGTGCGGAAGAACTTGTTGTGGCTCCCAGCATCCGCAGGGATGGGGGCTCCTGGGTACCCTGCCCTGGACCCCAGCGCTGGAGCTTCCTGGGCGCAATGAGGCCTGTTGGCCATTGCAGCAGCTTCGATGCTGAGTGACACGCAGGGCATTTGCTGAGCACCATGAGCACCGGGCTGGTCCCAGCGGTGCTGAGCTCCACTGGCATCTTCAGGATCGGCTCTTTCAGCTCTCAGCAGCTTGTCTTTTTTGTAAACCAAGCAGATGTAGCTGCCCTAAAAGCCCATAATTTTGCACTGCTTCTTGTTGCCGTGTTGTCGGGAAGAGATCCATGGCCATGTCCACATTCCCAGTCATCTCCTCATAAGTCCGTGTCCCAGGGCTGGCTCTGGGACTCAGATGCCTTTTGGAGCTGTGCAACATCCCATCCCACAGTGCTGCCAGCTCCCCTCGAGGGGAGCTCTTGCTTTCATGGCCACCTGGGGGGTTTGTCCCCATGGCCATTGCAACAAGAGTGACCCTGGAGTTCCTGGGGCGGGAAGCAGTGAGGAGACCCCGATGGGGGCAGGATCCAGAGGAAGGTGCCCACGCTGGGGTGGGTGCTGTTGGGTGGCCACACTGAAATCCTTGCTGGTGTCATGCACTGGTGTCCTGCTTGCAGGGGCTCTGGCCTTGGAACCCCCTGGAGGTTCTGCTGGGCTCGGTCCATGTCTGAAGCGACCGCTGTGCAGGGCCGTGTCCGGGCGGGCGGCAGGGGCTGCTCCATCGTGCAGGGAGCAGGCGGGATGCTCAGGCAGCTGAACGAAGATCTCGGTGAGCAGGAGAAGAGCCCTGGGGCGGGAGGGACGGCAGAAAGGGGCGGCAAAGCCCAGCTGGGGCTGCAGCGAGGGGAGCAGGGAGAAGCGCGGGGCCCGGACCCGCAGCGGCGTGAAAACCGCAGTTACCAGTGGGTGTCACTGCAGGACAAGGAGCGCCCGGCGCCGGAGGGCGGCGGGGCCGTGGGGCACAGCGGGCTGCCGGGGGGCCCTGCGCGGGGCCGGGGACACCCCACGCTGCTCCCCGGGCCGTGGGGAGCTCCCGTATCTGCCCCCCAGAAGGGCAGCTCTGCCGGGTGCTGGCACAGCCGCGCAGGAGGGGAACGCCTGGGCTTGGGCTCGGTTTCGTTTGGGCTCGGTTTCCCCCTTGGTGGCGTTGGCGCTGGGCTCGGAGCAGTGGGGAACAGAGGTTGTGCTGGGGAAGGGGTGGCAGGAGGCTGAGGTGGCACTGGGGAGCGGGTACCTGCTCGGGACCCGCGCCCGCTGTCACCCCGTGGCGAGCAGGGCAAGCGGGAAGGGGCTGACATGCGGCCCGGGCAGCCCAGAGCTGTCCCGTTTGGGCCATTGGCAGCTCAGCTGTGCCCAGGATTTCCCGGTCCTGTGGGGCAGACCTGACTGCTACCAACCCCATGGAGCAGGGCCTCCTCCTGAGCACGTGTTCCTGACCCAACTGTTGCTCTCCAGGTTTCCGCTCTCTTTGCCGGCATCTCGGAGCACGGCAGGAATGTCCTTAATCCTCTTGCCATGGAGCCAGGGTTTGCAGGGTGCCAAGGGCCCGTCCATCTCTTGGATTCAGATGAAACCAGAGCACAGGAAGGATCGGCCACAGTAGCGTAACTCGCTTCCCATCACTGCCCGACGCTGAATTGACAACTCTGAACAAGTGCAGCTCAGACCTGGGTTTTTGTTGGCCCTTTTCTAAAGCTGCAGGACCCTCTCAGAAATGTCTCTTTATCCCCACACATCCCTGAGACACAAAAACTTGCTGCAGGTAGAGACGGATGTCGCTGCAGGATGGGAAACCTCTTGCCTTGGTGTCTCAATCTGCAGCTTGGCTACAGGAGGTTCGTAAATCATGTCATTTTTAGCAAGACAAGATATTTAAGGCCCAGCTTTCTCCCTCTCCAGGGAAATGGGAAAGGTCTCCTGTTATATTCCACCTCTACCAGCATGGCACACCCTACTGTTACCCTCCTCATTATTTTAGATTGGCTTTATTTAGAGACCAGTACTAAAAGAGAGAAGCCCATAACAGGGCTTCTCCTCTATGGAGCAGTTGGTTTCCAGCCTCTCCAGCCTCAGGTGGAGGCAGGTTTGGGCAGGGTGGGATTTGCTGCAGCTGCTGCCCTATATAAAGGGGAGGTTAATGCCCAAGCTGCCCCTAAGGAGTGGATTATGGAGGTGCCAGAGTGGTTGGTCCTGCTCAAGGTAAGAAAAGCTACTCCTTTAGCCTGCTTTCTTCTTGCATCT